ATATCGAAAGAGGGGAAACTGAGTTCTAAGGTGGATAGGGGATTAGTAGTGATATTAGGCGGTTTTTGCCTAGTGACTCTAACCCTTGTTTGGAACTTCGGAATTGGAGGGATTTTAAAATCTTAACGAATTTTGAAATCATTTTATGGTGTTTGGATAAAAAAAAAATTGAAATCTTAAATGATTTCGAATTCTGTTTTTGGTTTAAATATTTTCCGTTTGAAATAGTTCCGATTTGTGAGCATTTTAAATTGAAAGGTAACAAATTCCAATTTTGTCATACTTTGGTGAAAAAAACTAATTACTCGAACCTCCTTTATTTATACATCATCAATCAAATTAGTTTCAAAATTTGATTTGTCGTGGTTTTTTTTTTATTCTAATAACTATAAACTGACCTTTTTTTCTGTAAAAATAAAAAAGAAACAAATGGTTGCAAATAAATTGAAATAATTTGATTTTAAGATTTTTTTAGTATTTGAATAAAAAATTTTAAAGTTTTTTTATTTAATTTTTAAAATAAACGTGACATTGACAATTTTTAATTTTTGTTAGGTTGATTTAATTAAATTATTTATGTATTTCATGGTTGAAATTACTAATTTATATTAAAATATTATATTATTAATAATATAATATTTTACAAAATATTAAGGGCATAATGGTAAAATGTTATACATTCTTTTCATTTTCGTGAATATCCAAACAATACATTTTAATTTTAATGATTTACCATATTTTGATTCCAAACGCAATTCGAAATTTGAAATCATTTCCATCATTTAAAATCCTAGAATTTGAAATCATTTCCTACGAATTCTAGAGGTCAAACGGAGCATAAAGATCAATAAAGTAATCTATTTTCTTTCGGAGTCCACTCTTCGTAGTACATCATAGGCTCCGACTTCTTCCTCCTCTAGTTTAGCCACTACTTGCGGTGTGTGTAATTTAGAGTTTTTTTTTTTAATTTTTTTGTGTAGCTATTCGGTAAGTTAGTCTTGTTCTAAGAATGGGCTTGATAAAACAGATGGAGTTAATGGTATTTCATAACAAATTGATTGAGCAACACCTCGTAAAACCACGACGATATGTGGGTGCTTAATTAATTCCCTCTAATGCTAAACGCTACCCAATGCATTTTTACATTCCATAGCTTCGACATATTATTTTAGCCCTATTCATCTTCACCAATCTTCACTTCTACAACTAATCAAGCTATTCAAATACATACATTTGACGTTTTTGGTTTGCTTCTCTTCCTGTTCAATTGATTAGAAGCATATACCAAACAACGCCACTCCGATTTAGAATTCAATTCTCAGGGCTAGAACTCTGCTTATTGTCCCTTCCTTTTCTTTCAGAGTGCTCTAATAGGCGCTATTCATAGTGTTACTATATAAAATATTTTATTTGAAGATGGCGATGGTGCAAATACATCCATGTTTTAGACCAAACTCAAACTTAAAAAACTTATTTAAGATTCACCACCAACTATTTTTGGTCTAATAGGAGAAAAAAGAAAGAGATAATATTTCCTTTTAGATTGACATGGAAAAGGTAAGCAAAAAAAAGAGAAAAAAAAGACTATCTATATATTTTATTTCTCTCACGATTCCTCTTTAAGAGTATATATGTCAATATGAATATAGCTCAGTAGATAAAACATCTAATAATATTATGAAGCTTCTATCTCCACCCAACAGTTTTTGAATTAAAAAATCATATAGTAATCTAGGTTCCGGTGAGTTAATATGCATTATTTTCGAATTCTTACCAATCTTGTTTAGATGGTAATATAGGAAAAAAATATCCTTATTTATCATTATTTATTTATTTATTTATGAGTTCAAATACTATTTTGATCCATTAATTTTTTTTTGGTATATTATATTTTGTATCTCAAAATTTTAAATATTTATTTTAATCTATTAACTTAAAAAAAATGTTCATTAAAATTTGCATAAAAAACTATCTAAAACCTAACAATAGATATATGATGAGGTAAATGAATAAAGATGTGCTTTTTAAGGTTGGGTGATAATTTTGTTTTTCTCTACATTCGAATACAATATTTCTTTATTATCTCTTTTATGAGGCTATTAAATTTTGTCTGTCATGTGAAATTTGCATACATGAATCCAAATATCAACATCTGAAGTGAATTGATGGTAACTCTCCAAAATAGAGTTATTATAATAAATAATGAGTTAATTTGTGCGTTAATATGAGGATCTTTGTCTAAGAAGCATTCTAAAGTGAGGAATTGAGCGGAAAAATTAATTATCGCATGCTAAATTCTTCTGTTGATAAATTTATGACAGTTCTTGATTAGTTTCCCCTATTTTGGCCAATTCTGCAAAATCTAGAAAAGTTGCTAAAGATATAGACAATAATTGCTGGAGAATTGTTGTGCTAGAGCCCCTATTGCTGGAGTATCACTTGTTGCAAAAATTCTTGGGCAGGGCAGTAACAAGTTTTACGCGGTTTTTTTACCGATGTCCGTAATATGCACGTTTTATCAGGTTTTTCCCTAATTTGTGGGAAGCTATAAAAGCAACAAGGAGGGTGACGGGTTGTCTCATTATCAATCCCCAATGGGGAAATGATCCTAAGAGAGGAAAGTACTCCAAATTCGATGCTGAAGGCAAGGAAAGCAGACCCTATTTTTGAGAAGGAGCTGACCAAAGGAAGTTGCAGCCACGAGTGTTCTCATTGAGTTGGAGGTTTCAGAGGATTTCCTGGAGATTTTTCACGAAATGGGTTGTTTCTTTTCTTTACCGATTGTATTCTTCCTCTTCCCCATGAACTAAACCTCATTTTTGAGAAAGATCATTTGTTGTAGCTTGCAGCCAAATAGAAGCGTTTTAGCTTATTTTTATTACTGATAAATAAAGTTGTTTTAATATTTTCATGTTACTGATATTTGTTGGCCGCATCTATCAGTTTGCTTGCATCTTGTATGACTCGGAAGAATATAGGTAGCGTTGTTTGACCCTATTTGTGGTTAGTTATTCTTTTGTAGTAAGTTCGTGGATGCTTAGGAACAAGGTCTGTCTAACCATGCTTATAAACCGRCCTTTATATGCTTGGGTATTTAGCAATGGAAGTTGTAAATATTCATGTTTCAGTATCTCGGAAGGGAACCACGTTGGTTTGAGCAATAGCATGCAATTTTATGCTAGAGCATCTTCTGTGAGCGAGCAAAAGCATGTAGCGATCTCCCCTATTCTCATCTCATCATTTGTTTCCCCTTCTATTAGTTTTGCTAAAGCATCTTTTGCCCCAACATCGTTAATTTATAGTATTTCTCTCTTGGATTTTCTTTATGCATTTTTATAGTACTTAGTTTAGTTATACAAACATTGATTTTCTTTTATTTGCATTTTTGGTATTCTTACATGTTTAGAGCAATATTTAGTCTTCCTGTGGATTTCAATCTTGTTTATACTACAATCGGTGAGAATAGTGTACATTTGCACTTATATTCATCTAGGTTGTGCTAATGCAACAATTGACGTGTCCAAAACAATTAACAAAATATAGAAAAAAAATATCAATAAAATATCATATTGCATAATAAATATTTGTCACAAATATACCATCGTTGGTAAGTGTAAATAAGAGTAACTAATTTTGCCATTTTCATCAAAATAGTAATTAATTTGGAAAATAAATTGGGGTCACGTGGAAATATACTTTTTCCTTCCTTTTGACTCTGCTTCAAGATAAGCAACCAATCACGATCCACTTCCCACCTGCTCTCTTTTACCACATTATTTATTTATTTAATTTTTTAAGTTTGTAAGTTTGGTCGGAGTTGTTTAATGCCGAATTTGTATATTAATCAAATTTAATTTTCATTATATTCGTGAGTTTATTTTTTGTTAAAATGAGTGAGTTAATTAGCAAAAATTAAACCAATGGTAAAAATTATAATATTTATTTGAGTCTATGGAGAAAATTGATATAGTCAGTGTAAAAAAAGACATTCTCCTTAAATTTTACTAATGTGAATCGATTTATTGCTAGTTTGAAAAGAGTTCATGATTAGCGCATCTTTAACTTTAATTTATGTTCGTACTTGTGATGTAATATTCATTAAAAGAAAAAAAAAACTTCATTCATTTGTCAACGTTTCCTTATTCTTAAACTTAAAAATAAATATCTAGTCGGTGGTAGATGGAGTGTAATGTTGGCAAATTCAGGTCAACCAACTAATTATCATTAAGATTCAAATTCATGTCAATAGATATTATTAGTAGGATTCAAGACAACTCTCGCAAATGTCGATAGATATTTTTGAAAAAATTATAAATAAAATTTTCATAACAAATATTTAAATTAACCCATTACACATTTATTTAATAAGTTAAAAATTATATTAATATTAATATTATGACATTATGTCTACATTAACAATATTATGTTGATTTTTTTTAAATATTACATTTTCTTATTTTAATACAATGAAAATTTCAACTCACCCCTCATTTCGAATCGAGCTTATAAACATAGGAAAATGTCAATACATAAAAGAAAATTTAATACTTTATCGTGGACTAATATTATGGGTGGAATAATAGTAACTCTCGATGGGAGAGACCCAAATAGGCTATTTTGGAGACATTAAAGGTACATTTCATATATTGCAAAAGACTTCCGAGGGATAACATCATCAGATTATTCTTAATAAATATTTGAAATAGTTAACGTAAATTCAGTTCAATTAGTAATTAAGACACATATATCTCCAACCAACTACTCAAAGGATTTTGTCGTTTTCATTTAATTTATGTTAAGGATCTCACATTAAAAATGTTTATAATAGACATGAGCTACTCCTCTCATAACCAATTGATTTTGAGATGGAACCCATGGATATTGATATTGGTATCAGAGCCCAAAACACTCAAATGAACAACCGGTCCAAAAATAGGGTCCGGTCAAGATCAATTAGCCAAAAGAACTACGATCTTAAGAGGCATGTTAAGGATCCCACATTGAAAAGAGAAGGGATTTTACAATAGTTCATAATAGACATGGACTACCCCTCTCATAGCTAGATCCGACCAAGATCGATTAGCCAAGCTACAAACATCGAACTTATGATTGAAGACATCAAAATTAGTTTTCTAATTGGCCAAAAGCCCTAGTGTACTTTTTCAAGCATATTTCTAAAAGTTACAATATTTTATGTGTTGGTTTCTCGATGGCTACGAAAAGCATTTAAAAACAAGTAGTTTTCTATTGGTTCACCAACTTCAACTTAATCCCTAAACTCATAAGGAAAACAAGGAAATCTCCTCCAAAAACTCCCATGAATGTTCATGATCTTCCTTGCCTTCTCCTTTGTTGAAGATCTGCCATCGCCATTATTATTCAAGATCCCCAAAAGCTTCTTCACTGCCCCACACCCCATCATCTCCTCCAAAACCCTCTCGCCAGGATGATAGTTGCACATCAACCACAAGATCTTCACCCCGATTTTTGTCGCTGCGTTCGACGCACTCATTTTCTTCGTCACTATTGCTATTCCCATGGCGTGCTCCGCAATGGCCGACCTGCCCTCTGCGCACTCGCTCAGAAGTTTGAGTATGTGTAATGTTCTCTCGCACTTCGATCGGTTCAAGTCTGGGAGGAGGTCGATCATGATGCAGACGGCACCGGCTTCGATCGATCTCAACCTACTCTTCTTCGAGGACTCCATGATCTCTATCAAAAGCTTTAGGGTGGAGGAGAACAATGTTTCACATCGACTAGAAAATGAAAAGATTAAGGAGGTAAGATAATATCTCTCCATTCTTTTAGGGTGAAACTTAAAAAAGGGATCTACGCATCATGTGTGGCTTTAAGTCCAAAGTGGATAATCATACCATTTTGGAATTGTAGAGAAATCCCTTAACATAAGGGTACTTGCTTGCTTGTTCATCTCATCTGATGCGAGCTCGAAGATCGATTTAAACAAGTCAATGGCTTGATATCTAGTTAGCAAGTTCCAATCGTAGCCGTTTTGGCACATCTTTTGAAGCATTTCCATTGCGTAAAACCGTCCTTCTATGCTTCCTCTTTGTAAAACAACCGCCATTGATTTGATGGATTCGGGTTTGGATAGCATCTCAAATAACTTCTCATCTCTTTTGGAAAATGAAAAGTGAGATAATACCTAGTAATAATAAAATAAAAAATTAAACAAACTCTACACGTCTCTTGTGCTAAATTTGTGCTAAATTTCTCAAGGTCGAGAGGGGAGAGTGTTAAGTATATAAATAAAAGATTAAAAAACATCCTAATCTATCAACTTAAGCCATATTACCCCTAAAGCCTCCTGACAAGCTTCGAAGTTAGCAAAATCGAAGCTTTCAGAGGCAACGACTTGATTGACTATTCCGACCAGAACTTCAAACCCATTTGCTCGAGAAAAGACGGATTTCACTCCATTAGCAGCAACATCATCCACCGCCGCGAGCAGTCGTAGTTTCCTCAAAGAACTCACCTTGAATGGCGACGACTCGACGTTCTTCAAGAGAGCCCCGACATCGTCGTACTCCACCAACGATGACGACGACGATGACGACGAGCAAGATTCTTTCATATTCCAAGAAAGTATTAGCCTCTTGAGGGTATAATTAGGGGTGATATCAAAGTTGAGGATGGTTTGCATGGTGGCAGGGCAAGTTCTCTTGTTGTAAGTGAAGAACCACCTCTCTATGTTGGCTCTTTCGAAGGTGACGCCGGTGGAAATGGTGACCGGATCTTGCATCACTTCCATGGAAATAGGGCACCGGAAATATGGAGGAACGGCGGCCGGCGGTGGCGGCCACGGCGGAGGATGAGGGTTTTGGTGGATTTCCTCCATTGAAACCGGCGGAATTGGAGAGAGAGGTCGTCGGGTGGCTCGTGGGGTCTTTTGAGAGTGTTGAATCTTTAAAGGGCCAAAAAATTCAAAGTCAAACGAAACAAATTTTTTTTTTTTGAATGTAAACTTTAAAACTAAAAAAAAAAGGATTTATTTATTTATTTATTTGCTTGAGAATAATATTGTATTCTTTTTTCTTGAACGGTTCAAATAAAAACAAGAAGAACGAGATTCTTCTTTTCTACCTAATCCAAAATAGAAAGCTCTCGTGTTCCATTTATTATTTTTACTTTTTATTTTTGGGTTTAAAATATTAACTTGGTTCCAACTTAATTTCAATTTACTTATAGTTTTAAATGTTCATTTAGTCCTATTAGTTGGTTAAAAATTTTAAACAATCTATTAGGCTATTTTTTTTACCACCTTACTGTCAATATTCATGGGTAGATGGCGGTTTTTTTGGGCACACAAATTATGGATCTTGTTTTCTAGCTTTTTCAAGCTCTGATACGACTACTCAAATTAAGTCTTTTATCTTTTTATCGTAGGAATTCTTAACAGTTCCATTTTTAAAACTAATTCATTATGAGATGAGTATGTCATGCATATTATAAACATTTGTTACGTCTCTTATCTTTTTAACGTGAGATCATCTCGATAATCAGTTAGTTTTGAGATGGAAACATATGAATATTGATACCAAAACTACTTGTTTTCTCGATTTTTTAAAGAATAATACATGCCTATCAAAATTTTTGTAGGAACTTATATTGACTATCTGATATGGTGTATTTTTATTGATCTTCGTCAATTATATTTAATAGATAAGTGGATTTCACTAAACTGTTTGAGCCAATTATAAATAAAAAAAAATCAATAGAAACTCCTGCCATATCAAGTATATATGTAGGTTAAATTTTTGTTTTTATTCGACCCATTGGAGCGTTAGCAATAACTTTTAATACAATATGAATGTCTTATTAGTATAAAGATTAAAGTAAAATTTTAGGGTCAACGAGAACATAATTCAGCGGCGATTGACACCTATTTCTTCATACTCGTTGCACTGCGAGAAAGAATGAGGTTGAAATTAAATTCAAATTATATGAAGTAAAATTGAAACTAATCATGAAATTGGTAATTTAACTCTCATCTCTTCTCCCCATATTTTCTTTGGTTTTCCCTCCAACCAAACAGCCTCGAGAAACACCATCAAGTTAATGTTGTTGTTGGATTGGGTGTGATGGATAAAAAGACATAGCACCATGACGATATTTAAAGTTTGAACAGATCGAGGGGAGAAAAAAAATTATAATTTAATTATATATATTTAGATGATCGCAGTTGGGGCAGCGAGAAAAATGGTGAAATTAATTGCCGACTGTTTTAAAGGGGTTGACTTAATATAAAATTTAAATTGTAAGTTGGTCCACTTGACAATTGGCAATTATGCTATTAAATTTTGGTGGATATGTTTATCATTTATATATGCAAGGATATTCAACAAATTCGACGAACCCAACCCAAACCGTAAGAGTTGGGTTATTGAGTTAGATGAAGCTTGGGTTGAGATGGGTTGTGATTTTCCCAACCCGATCGGATTAGGTTTGTTCTCGGGTTCAACCTTTAAAAAATCGGATCAACCAAATCCAAATCGAATTTATGTATATATGTGTATTTTTTTAATTATATATATAATAATATCTTTATTTTCAATGTCAATCCTTCATTTAGTGTTAATCTTAGCCCTTCATTTAAGGTTTTCATATTATCTTATTCCATTTTATATCTCAATCTCAGCCGTCCATTAAATTTTAATTCTAACTCTCTATCGCTGCCATGATAATTAAAAATTAAAAAAAAAAACACAAACCGACAACCCAACCTGAAAAATTGGGTTGGGTTGACCATCCAATTCAAACCCGACGGTTCTTATATATGGCTAATCCGAAAATTCGGGTTGGTCCCAAAACTCCTCCTAACCCGACCGAATTCAACTCGTGAACACCCCTATGTAGATATAGTTTTAACATTGACCCAAAAGGTGAACCAATATTAGTGCAGTATTGTAGAAAAAAGTCAATAAAATATCATTAATATAGATATAATATTAATATTAATAATTTATAATTTATATAATATTTCCATGAAAAAATTTAGATTTTGAAATTTCTATTAACATTCACATTTGAAATTTTGGTGGCTAACTCTCTTCCTACAAAATTTACATCGATGGCAACTTCAATTCATACTAAACATATTAATATCTCTTTCATTGACTAATTAATTATGATAAAATATCTACAAATAAATGATGAATGAAACCATGTATTGATTTTATTTATTGTTAGTTCAACAAGAAAATAAAGTTAACTGACTAAGCTACAAATATTGATTTTATTAATTAACTAAATTAATGAGAGTAATTATTTAGTTATTAATTAGTTGCTTTACCTCGTTATATAAGTTGTTATTTAGTCTATATCTTTCCCTCTGGCTCTCATTAACAAATAAATCATATAAGCAAAAGGTTGCCACTTTATTTATTATTATTTTTTTAATGTTTTTGAAAAGTATCTTACTTTAGAAAATTGATGTTAATTTCATGTTTATACACAAGATGTATATTTTGCTATTTTTATAATCTAATCCATCTTTATAGTATAACGTGTATAACTTAGCGTCGTTAATGCATTTTGCTCATCTTTTAGAGGTTGGAGTTTCAGTTTTCCATCTTGTACTAAAACAAGTTAATTTTAGTTTACTTTCTAGAATTTTTTTTTTCAATTATTATCACAACATATTATTGATTAGAAAGATAAAGAGACAAAACTCTTAGAGTATTTTTGTTAACATTTTCGTTTATTGTTTATATTAAGAATTTTAAGTTTTTTTTGTTAACTATTTATGTTTTTCGCTCCTATTTTTTAAAAATATTCTTAAAATGGTATAGAAACTTTGGAAACAATAAAAACATAAAAAAAAAAAAAAAATTTGCCTTACCATTATTTAAGTCATAGTTAGAGTCATACAATTCTACTTTTCTTAACTAAAAATGAAAAATAGACACAAGAAACGATTTCCACCGTTCAAAAATACATTAAAATAAATATTGGGTCAACCAGACCAAGTGGCATCAATTAGGCTCGTTTGGTAACGGTCTCGTTTCTTGTTTTTTTTTTTTTTAAATTAGAAACAAGAATATGTTTGGTAATCATTTATATTTCTTGTTTCTTGAAAAAAAGAAACAGAAACAAAAATATGGTTGATAACTATTTACTGTTTCTTGTTTCTATTTAATTTTTTTTTTTACAATAATTGTAGGGATGAAATTCGAACCTACTACAATTTATTGGCCGAGAATTTATACCTTACTCAGGTTAGCTAATTTTATTTTTAGTTAAAAAAATTTAGTAAATATAATATAAAAAGATATAACATAGACTTGAAGAATAATATTTATTAAAGAAAATATAATTTAGAATATAACTGTATTTGATATAAACGTATCCATTATTAGTTTAAATAAAGAATAAAGTTTTAAAATATTTTTAATTTAAAAAATGTAAACTTTTTTGTTTAATAAAATATAATAGTTTTTAATAAAGAATAAATTATCAAAATATTTTAAGTTAAAAAATATAAAACAAAAATAAAAAAACAAATTTATAGTTTATTAAAAAAATATAATTTACAATATAAACTGATATATAAAAGTAAAAATTATTAGTTTAAATAAAGAATAAAATTTTAAAATATTTTTAATTTAAAAAGTAGAAATTTTTTTGTTTAAGAAAATACAATAGTTTTAAATCAAAATAAAATTTGAAAATATTTTAGATTAAAAAAAACAAGAAACAAAAAAAAATGAACCCAAAACTTCTTCTTCAATGTAGAAATGTCATGCGTACCACCAGGCCATTGATAGATTGATTAAATTAGATTTAAAAACAAACTAATTAAGAAAGGTCTTTTTTTTTTCTTTTTTTCTATAGATTGATATAATGTCTTTTGTATATATTTATTTGTGTTATCATTTGGGATAGAGAGGGGAAAAAATAATGCAATTTGAATCTTGGATACTTTTAAGATATGTTCAAACTATTTTGAATTGTTTTTACATTTTCTAACTTAAAAAAAATTAAAAGATATTAAAGAATTAGAAAGTTTGACTCATAAAATAAATAACGAAGGAAACTCTATGATTATTAAAATGGGAAGATATTAAAAGAATATACAATACCAAAAGAATTGAATATAGTATAAGTCTTTTTATATTATCAACTTGAACCTAATTTAACTGATCAAATTATTAATTAGAATTATCTTTTTTGCAGTAAGTTTAAATCAATGCTTCTTAAATTGAGTTATGATATCTTAAAAAATGAAATTAGCCATCATTTTCGATTTAGTTTACTAAACTTCTGTTTGGGTGCCTACAAAGAAGTCATAAGTATAACATTAGAAAATAATAAATACAAACAAATAATAATATGATTAGAACTTTCATGGTAGTCCCATGGACATTTTAGTTGAATATATTACATTTTGATCCTTTTATAATATGTCTGAAACAATCATTTTTATTTCTTCGAGTCTTTTCCATTCAAATTAAATTATACAACATTCAAAAGTTTGGTCTAAAATTAACAATATTTAGGTACTAGACCGATCAAAACTCATTTGTTGACCACCATTATATATTTGATAGATAAGAGAGACGAATGCAGAAAGAGATATATTTTTATTTTTTTATGTTTTTTCAAAAACATAAAGAGATAGCTACTAAATTTTTACCGATAATAAACATAAAGATAAGTGTTGTTCGGTCACTATCTAATTGTATCGTCCGTCCAAAATTTTGGTGATATGTATAGGATGTGACCGATAATGAGGTTTGTATTAAAATAATAGTATAATAGAGTGACCCATCACTATTTCATTTATTATTTTATTTATAAGTTTTCGTTACTTTTAAGTTTTAATTTAATCCAAGTGTATAATTTATTGGTACAACTATAATATTAAATCTTTCCCCAAATAAAGGTGGAAGTAGGTTGAATTATACTTATTGGTTAAAGGGTTTGATATCTTTTAAAGGAGAAAAAAAATAAAATAGTCGTTAGTCACAATTATAACAAAATTATTAGTAGAATTTATCGTGGATTTAAGTATAACTTAACTAGTTAAGTAGTATTAGATTAAAAAATTAGAAGTTGGAATCCTCATTCTGATAGGTTAATAATTGGCATTTTAATTCAAAATTATTTTCTTTTTATAAAAAATCAAATTCATCCCCGAAAATTTTGATCAAACTAATGGAAAATGTCAATCAAATCAAACCAATCAAAACATTTTTGTTTTGGAAAAAAAAATCAATCAAAACATTTGTAGTTTAAATTATGTAGTTTAATTTGGTCATTGTACATTTAAAAAGTTATCATTTTGATTCATATTTGCATGATTTTAACACAAATTTTCTATCGAATGAAAACTCTTTAATACAACTTTATTACTATATTTAAAGAAATTTAGTGAGCGTAGTATCATGTTAAAATTGTGATCAAAAGAAATGAGATTAAAAAACAAAAGAAATGAAGGGACCAAAATTGTTACTTTTAAAAAGTATAGGGACAAAATCAGACATTTAATAACCAAAATGCACTAAAGTTGAAAGTAGCAGTACCAAAATAGCATTTAAACCAAGTTTTAAATTCTAAAAAATCCATCTAATAGAACATCCAAATCTAGCCACAAAAATATATTACTACTAATTAAAAAAAATCTTATTTAGCATTATGAAATGCCCACAAACCAAAATATAGACTTAACACATCCAACAAAGATAACACCCAATGACCCAAAAGGAAATCCCATCCAACCATAAAATTTCTCATGCCCTTCAAGGGAAAAAAAAAGTATATAGTTATAATTTTAGATTTTATACTCTTATTTCAAATTGAATGAAGGATTTCAACCCTATGTATCATAAATGGAAGAAGGAATAAACCAACATATTTTCTATGTGTTCATAGATTTTGACGTGTTCATAGATTTTGACGTATCGATTTTGAATAGATCGACATTATAGAAGAAGGATGAATCAATATTTCTATATGTTCATAAGTTTATAGGTTCGACACATTGACATAGGTTCTATATGTTGATAAGTCAATGAATAAGACAAAATATTAAAAAAAAATCAACAAAATATTACCACTAAGGATATAAGATTAACATCAATAATCTTTTAACTTAGAGTTAAATTCTTATTTGTTAATTTTATATTTATATAAAAAAAATTTAAAATTTATCTTGTGTTAATATTTCTTATTCATATTTTCACAAAATTGAGAAATCGACATTTTCATCGATATCAACATTTAAAACTTTGTAATCATGGTCCTGAACCTTCCCACAATTAATTGACATTCTCCTAATTTATCATCTCAATTTAATCTCTAAACCGAATTTTCAAACAACTTAAACTAATACTTGATTAAACTAAACTAATCATCACATCGCATCCACTACATCAAATATTGGGCTTCAATGATTGATTAAAATGTGACAAAATTTGAATTAGTAAGTTGGTTGTAATTTCTATTAGTTACATTGCAAACAAATGTTAATTAAATTACCAGATTTTTTGGATTGGAGTTAATTAATCAACATTAAAGTCCATATCAACAAGAGAAAGGCAATTAGAACCTTTAATTATTTTGATCAAAATACAAGTCTTTTAACACAACCAAAAAGTCCACAAAGCACCACTTTATACCCCTTTTATTTTTTTAATCCGCCATTGTTATCCTTCTGTAGAAGTATCATTTCTGAGCAACGATGCCATAAATTCATCCAAGACCTGTAAATATAAATTAAATTAATTACACCCCACCATAAACCAAATGTTGGTGATCAATAAATTAAAATAAAATAAAGACCGAGTATATAATGTTATGTTTGGTTGGTGATATTTGAAAATAGAAATTTGAATATGCAACAAAATTAATGAAAAATAAAGTTGTGTTACATGTTTTCGTTGTTTTTGAAATCCGGACACTTGGTAGAAGATTTATAATCTTAAAATGTTGAAAACGGGTTAATTTTGGTTGTTTTTAAAATTCTCACGTTTTAGGTTACAGAATTTAAAACATAAACCCATTCAATAGAAGTTCACTAAATTCATTTGATTGGAGGAATTCCTTTCAGAAATTTAATCTAGGTAAGATATTTATCCAAATATCCTTTTCGTCCCTAATCTTTTAATTAAGTCTTTTATTCTCATTTCTCCAACACATTAAAATTTATTGTCAAAATTAATGAATGATGTGGCAGATGTTTTTTAATAAATAAATTAAAAATACTTCATATTTTATCAAGTGGGGATAGCTTAGTTGGGAGAGCGTCAGACTAAAGATCTGAGGGTCGTGTGTTTGATCCACACTCGCCGCGAAATTTAAGGAGATGAAAATTTTTATATCCTAATTTCATAGGAATTATACATACCCATCTCTCGGTAGTGAAAAATATGTTTTTTTTTTTTTTTGAGAAAAGTGAAGAATATGGTTTTATTAGCATATGTAAGTATAGAAAGAATAACAAGATTATTTTGGTGTATATAGATATTATTGGTGGGGCGGGAAACGGGGGCAAGGAATGCATTCCCCATCCCCATTTAGGTGACGGGAAAAAACTCTCTCATCCCCGCCCCCTAGGTAATTTAGATGGGGATTTCCCACCCCATTTAGATGGGTCCCCACAGAGATAGAACTCGTGGAAAAAATGAACATCCCTATTTGAAATTAGTTAGAAACTTGCCTTTTCATCAATGGAGAAAGGATCAGTTGTTGAAGTTTCTTCATCTGCTGTATAAATGTTGTAGGCGTGGTGGCTCTCATCTACCATGAAACTCCCATTGCCTTGTTGCTGCACAATGAAATTTAAAGTTGACTTGATTTTCTAGCGAATGGGAGTAAGGATGAAGTAGATAAATCCACCTATCCCGACCATCCTTTGAGGTTGGAAATTGTTCGACCTCTCACTTCAACATATGTTGAACTCAAAAGAAAAAAAACCGAAAGAAAAAAAACGTCATTTTATTATTTATTTTATGTTTTCAAAAGACTTAGAAACATTACTTTTACTTACGTGCTTTTTTGTTCTTTTATATATATAGTAACAAACATTTTTTAGGCCAAATTATGAAAATAGAAAAAATAATATAATATATATATATATATATATATATATATCAATATATAAAACTTGTTTTTTCTCTATGTTTCCTAAAAATTCAAATATGTTTTCCAAGTGAAAAATTTAATAATAAAATCATACATAAACAAGTATAATTTTTAAAAACATAAAACAAAAAACAAAATAAATTATTGCGCAACTTTTTTTAGTTTCAATTTTTGTTAGATTTTGAAAAGTTTTCAATAGGAAAATAACGAAACAAAGAAATTAAGTACCACAGCGAAACTAGTATTTATAATCTTAATTTTCAAAAGCTCAAAATTTTAAACCAAAATGATTATCAAACAAAACGGACCTATTCAAATGAAAAACCATATAACCAAATTAATTTCCTATCATGCATCTAAAACTATTTTAGAACACATTATTTTCTCAAAAACATTCTCCAATAATGGTATTGAGTTTCAATGTTTAAAGAAAATATGTGATTAGATTTTTTTCCTCTCTACTCAAAAAATTAAACCTACATTCTTGATAGAATATAATTATTAATAACCCTTGATCAATTATCATCCCACCTCAACTTTTTTCATAGTTTTTTTTTATTTTATTTTTATTTGAACTCAACTTTTTTCATAGTTATCAATGATTAGTAGAAAAGGATATCATATGTCATATATTATGCAGAAAGTTTAGGCAACAAAGTTTTTTAATTAACATTAATTTCACTTACTTGATAATTAGGGGTTGGATTTATATTATCAACAAAGCTCTGCATTGGAAACAAAGGAGCCAAAAAACCAGAATCTTCTTGGCCACCATCCTGAAATTTATTTTTCAAATATGAAAACAAACCAATTATATGTATAAATATATATAGATCAAAAAAAGGAAGAATTATCTTCATATGCCTAAAGATGTTTATATATGTGATTAATTTTCTTCAATCTGAATTTAATGATGAGATCCACGAAAAATGAGACAAATATAGTAGGTTTCTTACTTTGGCAATGAAAATTTTGTCGAGAAATATATTTATAAGGATTAAATTTATATTAATCTTACAGATTTAAAGCTAATTTTAAGTCTAATGTTAGAGATTTTAAAAAAAATCATTTATTGAGGAGGATGTTTATCGGGATCTATGGACTAATAATTACTAATATTACTTGTTTCACAATCATTTAAAATAACAAAAATATATAAGATTGTTTAATACGTGGGTCGAAGTTTTTACTATATTGTCCATCCGAGCATAGCTTAGTGGATAATAGATGTATTGGTTCAATCCCTACCCTACAATTATTGAACTAAAAAAACATTATAGAATATTTTTACTCGATGGATGATAAAATATCCGTCAACTATTTAAGTTAATTAACCAAATCATTTTTTTAGAATACTAATTACCTTTTTAAGACCTTCAAAACCACCCCACATCACCCAAAATAAAAAGCACAAAATTATCAAAAAGAAAACATAAATATAATAGCTAAAGAGGAAGGTTTTTGACTTTTTACATACCTTATTATCAAGAGAATGACTTGAATAATGCTTCACTGTCTGAGAATTTTCACCAAAGTTAACACCATAATTACTCATTAAACCCCAATTGTAACTCTCATGATCTCCTCCAAATCCAATACCATTTTGACCATACTCCCTAGAATAATCTTCAAAACCCATTGAAACCCCCTTTTGTGCCACTTGAAGCTCCCCGCTGGCGCGGACCGAGAATCCAGTGTAGTTATCGTTGTTCAGGAAGCTAGGAAGACTCGGATAGGATCGATCTTCAAAGTTGACACTTTGAGCTTTATTAGGGTTCCTCTGTAATGCTTTGTTGCCACCAATAAAACTCCTAATGTGGTCTAGATTGAAAGGCAGGAGATTTGTTGGATAACTAGTCGGGCGGTACCTAGATTGGTGGTCGTCATAGTTGTCATTTGAATTTAGATTACCAAGCAAAGGAGGGATATTAGGGTTTTGGGCAGAATTGAGATGGCGAGTTCTTTTTTTTTGGATTTTTTCTAACACAAGTGTAGCATGTCGGGAGAGGAACTTCGACCATAGGACTTCTTCAATTGTCTTGTCGGATGTTACCATGCATCGTTCAGCAACTTTTCTTAGAAAAATTCTGTATTTCTGCTTGGGAAAAAAAAAACACAGCTAACTAATTAGTTGAAATTAATGAATGAGAAAATTTTTGTATTGTGATTTGTGAGAGAAGAAATTAATTAATATAACTTTTTCTAGATGGGCTGAGTTTAAGATGTTCAATTAAATTCAGAATCTCTCATAGTTGACTTCAAGTTTTTTCCTCCCAAATTAAGAGATTAGCTTTATGAATTTCCCAAATTTGTAACATTTTTTAATATTTTCTTTTCAAAAACTTGACTTATTAGGAAGAAAACAGATTTCCCTCCATTCATTTTAGAGGATCTTAACAAATCAAACACCATCTAATTAATTAGATATATGCATGAATATGATTCTACCTGTATACAATTTTAAGATTCATTATTTTAGTTTGAATTTTTATGTGGATCATATCAATTTATCGAGCTATTAGTGATAAAAAAGTATGTCATATACATCAAGAAGAAGCTAAATAAAAGCACTTAAATTCAGAGATGGTTAGAATGTCATAATCGTAAAATAAGGTCGATTTAGAAGACTAGAGCCGTTGTTATATCATCCCACGAGGAGAATAAGCTATTCTCAGAAATTTTCAGATGCTTCATTCTAATCCTCTAAATATTTAAACAATATATAACATTGTGAATTAAGGATGATAATCAAATTAGCAGAGAATTGAACCTGCAAATGGCTAGCAACATTTTCCCTTGTCAAGCCAGGCACATTCATGATTTCTAGGATTTTCTTTGGAACAGCTCCTGCCCATGTATCAAAGTTATGAGTGGACAATCACATAAATCTTTACAAAAAACAAACCAAAAAACCTTAAAGAGAAACGAATAATCTATTATAGTAGTGATGTTCTTACTGTCCAAACCGATGTAATGAACAGCTTGCAAGAATCTATATTGAAGGAAATCTGTCCAAACCACCTTTGCCTTTTTTGTGGTTGTGGTCAATTCCTTTTTATCATTTGCTTTCTCTTGATTTTTCCCTTTTCCTTTTGAATCCTTCTTCTTCTTTCCTCGTCTTCGTTCGTTCGAAGACGAGACTGAGTTCACTTCTTCGGAGCGTGATTTGAACGCTGGAAATCTCGGTCCATGGCTTCCGGTTTCTTCGATAAACAAGTTAGGGTTTGGTTTACTTCTTGATTTTGTGGATAGGGCAAATTGCCAAATGTTTCTTAGATCATTTATAGTGAAGGGTTTCAATAAGTAAAGCACAACTCCTTCTTGTATAGCCTTGAGCATTATGCTTTCTCGATCATCGATCGAAATCACTGCATTCAAATTTGATATTCCAAGAACAAATTAATTAACAAATTGGGTAAATGGGTATGAATCATGCATACAATTATGTGGCCAAAAAAAGCCAGGAAAAAAATATGAACCACTTTAAACATCTGAGGAAATTAAAGCTCTCAAATAAAATTACTCACTAATCACAGGCAGCTTGAATTCATCATTTACTCTCCTGGTTAGCTCAAAACCATCCATATTTGGCATATAGAGATCGGTTATAACCAGATCAAAAATTTGCTTTCCCGTGCGAAGCGTGTACAAGGCACAAATCGGATCGTTAAATGGAGTAACTAAAATATATTTGAAAAGTGAAGAACTAAATTAGAACCAATAATAAGATATTACAAATATATAATTAAAGAGGTAATTACATACAAAAATTAACTCAAATCAATTCAGTAAATTGTATATACAAGGAGAAGATAAAAGGAAGATCTCAATGGAAGTATTTGGGAAAATTGTGAAAAGTGAATTCATAAACAATTATCATATCATATAATATATATTTTCATTATGGGTTATTATTTCATGGATTTTTTTTTTTTAAACAAAGTCATAGACAAATAAAATCCAATTTAAAATTTCTATTTAGAATTCAAGTTTTTTCATACTCCACTTAATACAATTGTGAGAAACAAAATGTTCACCAAAAAAAATAAAGTCAAGAAAAAGGAATATTATATACATGGTAGCCTGCAAATGAAAGAACAAATCCATATGTAATGTGAATATTATATTCATGATCATCTTCTGCATCACCTTTAGTTGTCATTATTTGGCAATCTCTACAATAACACTTCAAAATTGTCTGAAAAAAAAAATACTTTTATGCCAACTTTAATTTATTTTCAACTTTTAAAATCATGACATATAATAAAAAGCCATCTTTTCTAAAGCTTTTGTTCTAGATAGGTTTGATGAATTGTGCTCCATGATCTAAGATTTGGGGGAAGATGCAATTAAAGTAGTAATTTCATCTATAAAAAGAGAGATTTAATTTTATTAGCTCGCCGCTCGCGTTATAATCACGTCAACATCGATCTGACATACATCAATTTGAGCATCGCTCTGGTTAAAGCATATATTCTCCTCAAGTTCGAATTCCCACTCCTACTTCAGTATTTTCGAAAAGTAAGAGAAAGAGGAAAACCATGGATTGTTTTTTCTTTTTCAAACAAGACAAGAACAAAAAAACATGACCAGAGAAATTAAACCTAGTACTTTTCAATTTGTTTTTCGCTAAGGTACCTTCATAATTCAAAGTTTTAAGCAAGCCTGAAACAACAGCAAGAGAGGTAGCATCATCATCCACAAGCATGACATGAATTCTGACAGGAGGAGCTGTGAGAAGAATGTTGTTGGCTGCAACTTGCTGGTGATGACAAGACATGTCTAGAGATCAGAGCTTTTCTGAAAAAACTATAATGTTTGGAATTCAATTCACTACTGTTGTTTGTTTCAGTTGGGCTGCACAAGTTAAATGGGGAGAGCAGAAGCAAAGAGACAGAAATTAGAGAGAGATCAATTTGTAATAAAGCCCAATTTGAACACCTTAAAAGTAAATTAATAAAAATTTGTGGCAAAATCTAGAGTAGAAAAATTACATTCAATGCAAATTACAAAAACTTAAGAGGTTCCCAAATGGTTGATCTAAATGTGTATATCTTTCACTATATAAACCTTTCAATTTCATACCATTTATTCAAAATCTAAAGCAACCTATTTTTAGAAATTAATGTGTCTTATTTTCTAATCATATCACTACACTGTAATTTATATATAATTACCATGGTATGATTGTAATTATATATATAAAAAAAAGACACAAATTCTCTTAGGGCTTAATGAGAATTATTGAGAGATTATCACTTTTCAAATGCTTAAATCAAATTGGATGATTGATGTTAATGAATGAATTGAAAATATTAAAAAGTTTCCCAATTTGTTCAACTTAAACGAAACTTAATAATGTGCATTTGAAATATCATTTCTATCACACTCTCTTCCTTTAAAAAATTTCTCCCTTTTTGTAAAAAATAAAAAAATAAAAACTTATTATATTGTGATAATTAGACAAGTAGTAGTTAAAAAAAAAATTAAAGTTTTTGTGTTATGAAACAATTCATAAAGTGGGAGGGAAGGAGTTCAAACTCCATGATGGCCACCTACACGTTAAGAATTAATTCCTATGTGTTTCATGGCACAAAATATTGTAGAGTCAAGTCTGCTCGTGAGATTAGTCGAAGTGCACGTAAGCTGGTCTTGACACTTGCGAATATAAAAAATAAAAACCTCATAAACCCACGGGGACTTCTTATTAAGTATTCATCTTATCACACTTTCTTTCTTTCTTTCTTTGTTAAAGATTGAACAGACGAAATTTATGTAATTCAAGAGTAATTTTTTGGTAATATTTTTGTTTCCTATTTCTTTGTTTTTCACATTTTCATTTCTTGAAGAACGCGTGTTTAATAGCATTCATTGTTTCTCATTTTCGTACTTTTTGAATACATTTCCATAATTAGATGCAAGACCGTAAAATTTTTGGTCTCTTGTTTCCTATTTTTGTTTCTGCACACTCGTCAGTAGATGAGCTCTACTAACTTTCTGATGTGACGTGGTTTTAAGTATCGATCTATTTCTATCGCATTGAATAGTTACATAGATTCACTAAAATCTTTTAGCCAATAAAAAATACGCCACTTTATAAAGTCAATAGAAGCTACCTCAACTGCACCTGTCTATAGGGAAATATTTCCCTTCTAATTTTTCATAATGTTGATTATCAAACATACTTTCGTAATTAGATATAAGTAAAATAGAGAGAAGTCACCATCGGCGGGAAGTGGCGTTAGTGGGCTTGTGGGCGAATGGAGATACCTCCCTCCCAGTTCAAGTCCTTGCGTGAAGCGTAGCCGGGACTTCTTCTCCCCTTCCCCCACACCCCCCCCCCCTTATTTGGGGACAAGTCCCGCAACGTCTATTACAATGTTAGGTGATCGTCGACACCCTTGATTATAGAGATCCAAACTAGCAAAGCCACACATCATCGATTGCGGGTTATCAAAAAAAGTAATAAAGAAGTCAAGAAACTAAAAACGAGTATCAAACACGACTTTTAATTTCTTCCCCTAAGAAAAAATAAGAAGCAAACAAAGAAGCAAAAAGGCAAAAAAGCGTTACTAAACAAGTACCTTTGTTTCAAATCCTTCCATCCCATTTAAATATATACTATGTGAACATATGAAAATAAGGTAAGAGACAACACATGCATATTATTCCCCCCAAAAATAAAAGATACAATGAAATGAAAATTACAAAGAAAAGAGAGCATATAATAAATGAGAACTTGTCTCATGTTTAATCCAACCATAAATGAGTCTCTTATAGGCGTTATGAAAAGATGATCTCATTATTCTTGCAAAAAAACAACCATTCCTCTGCACCAACAGCCTCAGTAATGGCTACTTGGGCACCATGCAAATAGCCAGTTTGGGACAAGGACAAGATTTACAACAAGACAAAGACTTTTGTGAGAGGATTTAGAATACCAAGAAAGAAAGACATGATTATTAAGGTTGGACCCCAGGAAAAAAACCCACAGTTGCATGTCTTTATCAATGTGCACGAGATTCGAATTCCATCCCAAAATCATTTAGTTCACTTGTGTTATAAATCTTTGTTAGGTCTCTATTTGTAGATTGGATGTTCTTGTTTGAATTTACTAGATCCTGATACCGTATCAATGAATATGGGGTTTCATCTAAAAATTAATTGTCTCTGATATATCATATTTTGATTGTAAGAGGAATAGTTTGTTAAGGATTTCACGTTGAAAAGAAAATAGACCTTACAAAAGTTTATAATAGACATAGACTACTCTTTTCATTACCAATTGGTTTTGAGATGGAACCTCATAGATATTAATATGAATCAGAGTTCAAACGAGCATCTAATCCAAAAATGAGGATCCGACCAAGATCGATGAGCCAAAAGAGTTACGATTTTAAAGGGGCAGGTTAAGTGTTTCATATTGAAACAAATAGACATGGACTACCCCTCCCATTATCAATTGATATTGCTCACTGAGTTGAATACGGAGAAAACAAAAGGGTCTTAGAGAGGAGTGTGATTAAATAATTACTTAAAGTAGATTCCTAGTCCACTTTGTTTTTTGACAAAAACAAGAAAGTGAAGAGAGAAGGGTTGTTTGTATTTGAAATTGTTCTTTCTGCATGGCAAAGATGAGATGAGTTTTTGTGTCGTTTTGTATTTTGAGCTCAGAAAACTGTGCTTGAAATCTCAGTTACAAGCAGAGGACGATCGCAACTAGTGTTCGTCATGTTCTTTAAGGAATATAATAATCTATGTTCTCTCTGGAATGTTGTTTAATTAAGCTTAGAGAAGTACTACTAAGAGAATGAGACAAGTCCTAACCCTAAAGAGAGAGTATTTTATTCGAAACGGGACTCGGGTGAGTTTGAGATGTCTTTCGGAGGAAAAAAAAGTGATTTTAAGTGAAGCACTCTCGAAAACAAACTAATTAATTAAATGCTTCATCTACCGTCACTTTCAGTGCGTTGTTTGGAGTTTTTCAAACTACTTTTGATTGTTGAAAATTTTAAAATGTACGTTCTAATTGGTTAAAAACACTCTTTTTCAAATGTTTGAAGTATAGGAATGTAATCAATTGGTAGGATTGGCCTCAAATTTGGGAATCACTCCTCTCAAAAAGGTAATTTCATTCGTCGGTTAATATCTAATCAATTTTATTCTCATTTGTTATTACGTGTGTCTCATTTTTTCAATAATTACTTTAAAACTTTTGTCGCCCCTCTATCTAATTAATTGTTTTACGATTTTACTTTTGATTTTTTTTTATTTATACTAATAATAAATTTTCTTCTAATAGAAAAATTATACCATTTTTATTAGTGATGTTACTTTATTTTATAGAATATTACACATTTTTATTTAATTTTTATCAATTATTTAATTCTATTTTGTTATTATTAATTAATTATTAGAAGAAAACAAAACTTAACAATATTTTATATTAATATTTATTTTAATCTTTGATGTAATTTTATTTTAATTATTTATTATTTTGTAAAATTAAATAAATGGTTAAAATTAAAAAAAATACTATAAAAAATATTTAAATTTTTTATTGTTTTACTTAAAATATAATATTAGCATACCTTAAGTATTTTTTATACGTTTTTAAAATTTCTTGAACTACTTTTTTATCATTGAAAATTTTAAAAAGTATGGATTAGAAGTGTTTTCAAATCTTCAAAATTTTAACCAAATATTACTAATTTTTTAAGGAATAATTTGTCCTCCATAAGCCAGAAAAGACATATCAAAACACACTAAAAAGTGTGCTTGATAATAACTTTATTTGTGCCTCAACATTGTGATCATCGCTCTTGTCCTAAAATATTGGTTACATTAATATTATTGTTGTCTCAAATTAAAGTATCGACTGCTTTTTATATGACTGTTGTCAGAAAATATTGGTTGCCTTTTATATGATAGTTGTCCCAACATATTAGTTGCCTCTGTATGATGGTTGTCGCAAAATTTAGTTGTCTTATCATGATTGTTGTTCCAAAATATCAGGTGCCTCTATATGATGGTTGTCCCAAAGATATTAGTTGCCTTGATATTACTTTTGTCTCAAAATATCGGTTGTCTTGATATGAGATAATTCTCAAAAAATGTTGATTACCTTATTCACTATTGTCTTAAAGTATTGGTTGCCTTAACATTATTATTGTCCCAAAATATCGATTGTCTTAATACTATTATTGCTCCACAATATCATATCAGTTTTCTTGATAGGGCTGTTATCTCAAAATATTGATTGTCTTAATATGATTACAATGGTCGAGGTTGACCTACCGATAAAGGGGAAGAATAGAAGGTGAGATGGAGAAGAACAGAGAAAGAAAAAAGGAAAAAGAAAATCTAGTTGTGAAGTGTGCATGACATCCACGTGGCAATCTCACTGTCAATCTGGTGGTTATTTATCTCTCCATAATTGCTTGATAAACCCGCGATTTACATTTAATTTGTAAGTACCATACACTAAATCGTACCCATTTATGGTGATTTACTAAAAATTTCATCAGTTATAGTTAATTTGTCAACCTATTTTTGTCATTATAGTTTCAAAACTAGGTCAATTTTTATTATATATTATTATTTTTCAAATCTTGGTCTTGGCTGTGAATTTTAATGTGGGCTGATTTGTTTTTGGGCCAACTTTGAATTGATCCAATTAGTCAACCCAATGATAATAAGCCCGTTTGGTAAAATAATTCATTGCTCATTCCATTTTTAATGAGTTTCTAAACTTCTAAATATTTTATTTTAAATCTCAAACTTTGTATAAAGGATTATTCTATCTTAGTAGTTGAGTTTTTTTAAAAAATAAATTATTTAAAAGAAAATTTATTGTAGATGGTAAAATTGGTGGCCATATTTGTGAATTTGTTGCACAATAAAAATGATTTGCAAATATGATAACTTTTTTTCTATATCACTTATATATTATTTTTCCTAAACTACATCACTGATATAATATTTATTATCATTAATAAGATACGTTATAGGAATCTATATATTTTTTCCATTTTTTCAAAATATTTTATCATGTGACAAAACTTAAAATTATTTAGACCTTACTAAAGCATCAATTTAAAATAAAATAATGTAGAAGGAAAGGGAGAAGAGATCAAGTTTGAAAAGAGACAATATTATTTTTTTAGTTCAATATGTTTCTGTCTTTGAACCTCTAATTTTTTGATGGAAAATATATATATTGAAAAGACAAATCAATATCATTACTTAACACTAAACACTAAATTAGGATAATTCAAATCATATTCCTACATGGATTTTTATACCATTGACCATCATTAAGAACTTAACAAACACAAACAATAATTGGACTAAAAATCATCTAAATTTTTTGCAAGAGCACAAATTTCATCCAAATTTCCTCAATCAATTGGATCAGCAGCCAACTCTCTTGACCCTTGCCAAACAGTTGTCTTTTGGCCTTGAATGGGGCAGATACCTCACTGGACTATTTGGATTAGCCCTCTCCAACCTGTCCAAAAAAACGACGACCCGAGTCGTTAGCTCGTATGGTCTATAGCAAGCTTCCCGTCAATAATACCTTCCTGACACGTGCTCAGGAAGAAGAAGGAAAAAGAATAGCAGAGGTTTTGGAAAGCTCACTGATAATTGAGGAGAAAATAGTGGAGAAAGATGGAGACTTCTAGCTTTGCAAGATCATTTCCGGGACACAATCTACTCCCTGCTCCAAATGGAAGGAAGCTCCCTGCTTTTGGTGTGAAATCCTAAACCAACACGATTTCTTCAGATGCATCGTTATTTCACGTTTATTATACGTTTAGCCTCTAAAATTTTAAGATTGTGACTAGTAAAATCCGTAAAGTTTCAATTTAGTGTCTAATAAATCTTCGAAGGACACGAGATTAAAGGCTGAGGGACCTATTAGACAAAGACTTATAGTTTAAAGTCTAAACTTCTAATTTAACCTAATATTAATATCAAAATCAAATGTATACTGTCCTTACATCCCATCTTGACGGGTTGAATTCTTTTGGGTTCGGGTAAGTTTGGGGATCCAAGTGAACTCCTCTAAACCAGACCAAGATTTTCCAACCTTTTGGAATGAGATAACCTGCAAAAGAGAAAATAGTCATGTGTTCTAATCAAGGTGTTAAAAGTCGATGTCGATAAAAATATCGGTATCTCAATTTTGTGAAAAATGTCAATGGAAATATCTACAAAGTATATGTCGATGTCAATTGAATATTTAAAAGAAAAAAGACATATTCAAGAAATCCATAAAAATTATTTGAAGGAACAAATAAGCATTTTACCATTTTTAAATTGTTTAAAATTTTTATTATTAATATTATGTTTATCCATTTTTTACAATATAATTTTAATGTCACAGCTCATTCTGTATGTCAATAATCAATATCAAACATCATATATATAGATAAAATTTACCACTTATATTGACGTCATGCTTTGCCTCTCTAAAAACCATGAGTGAGAAAGTTACCACCCGTAGCGTTTCATCAATTACCTACGGTTAATAAAGTGCAGTTAAAAGTGTCAATCAAGGGAGTAAACAAAAGGAGCTATAAAACCGTAAAAGAAGGTAGGTGAGATAATTGATGTAATACATACCTTTGAAAGATAGTACATTTCTCTAACTTCCTTGAGAGTTAATCCCTTTTGGCTCGCAGGTCGTCTCCTTAGTATCTCTTCTTGCTCTATCTGTTCGAAACCGTTAAAGTTTTGACACGTAGAAGAGAGAAATATGAAAAGAAAAAATAGTATATATTTTTTAGCGGTCAGAATCTAAATATCGCTATCTTACCTTAGCCTTTTCGAAAAATTCCGGATGTTGTTGTAAGAAAATCGTGGCCCACATCATAGTGTGACCCGAAGATTCATGGCCAGCATTCAAGTACATTATCAAGACATCAATAATTTCTTCATCACTCAACTTTCTACCATTCTCATCTTCAACATCTAACAAAGCATCCATCATGTCCCTCCTTTTCGTCGCTAAATTGTTCTCTCTTTCCTTCCTTCTGTTCGTCACAATCGATTGAAACGTAGCCACAAGATTTCGTCGTGCCTACAATGAGATGTACGATTATGATTTTACGATGTACAAATTTAGTTCCTAATATAGTTTTCACAAAGTTTGAATTTTGTCCCTGAGATTTTACAAGTTTCAATTTAGTCCATGTGGTTTGGACTTAGTTTGGATTTAGTTTCAATAAGATTTCAAAAGTTTTAATTTGATCCATATGACTAAGTCAAACTTCACCAAATTGTCCTTGTCATTATCATATTAATAACAAATAAAAAAAATTCATTTTATTAGGGTAACTTTGTTAGTTGAGTATATTAGAGTGTTTAAAGTTTATAGTAAAAAAGTAAAAGAAAATAAGTAGATTTTTCAAGGGGATAAAACACAATTTTAACCATGGAGACCAAATTGGAAACTAAGCTTAAACTATTTACAGTTAACGCTACAAGAAAAAAAAAATTTCCCCGACGTCTGTGAACTTTTCCTAATGCATATAAGTTGACGATTCTTCCGACGAAAAATTTGGGAGAAATCATTCCCAATGTTTTTTGGACTTTTTCCGACCTTTCTTGGTGTAGGGAAAAGTCTTTTTTTCTTGTAGTGCAAGTAGGTATCTTTACTTACTAATTGATTGTTATTTATTCTATTTTCTCTCTACTAGTTGTCAATTTTTTAATAGCGTAGGTAAGGGATGCGCATACTTATCAATAAGTACCTAAGTTTTATCCAACTACAAGGGACCAAATTGAAGTTAATCCTGAACCATGATGACTAAAACGAAACTTTTAAAAACATACGAACTAAATTGGTACTTTGCCCACGAACCATAGAGACGAAATTTGTAACTTTAACCTAATTATACGGTTAACTAATGAACAGGATGCGATCAAAGTCTCACCTTGAGGGCCTTATGGTAAGCAAAACCAGGAATATTGATGGCCATGGCTCTGACGCCATAGTTGAGCTTGGTGTACTCCCTCTCCATGGCGTCCATTACCGTCTCACTCTCAGAGCTAAGGAAGATGTGCATGATGATGTTGAAGGTGAGCTTTCGCAGGTGAGTTAAGAACTCTATTTGGCCCATGGTTGCCCATTTCTGCAAGGAAACCACCACCGTTTGTTCAATGTATTTGAGGTAAGTGGCGAGTGCCTCGTAACCGTTCACCGGAGCTGCGGTTATGCGGCGGAGACGCTTGTGCTCTTGGTAAGAGATGCCGATGAACGACTTCTCTCCGATGAGTTTCATGGTGGAAACCGGCCATCCCGACCCGAATGCGTCGTCGTCGGTTAAAACTCTCTTGCAAGCTTCTGCTGAACTCACTAATACGCTTGGACTCCCAAACATCAAACTCTTGTATATTCCTCTCCTTCCATACCTAAAACCAAAATTGTTATCATGTATTGAAGATTGAACTTAAGAGTACAGTAAAAAAACACTTTTGATCTCTATATTTTCATTCAACTAACGATTTAGTCCTTATATTTCTAAATTTATAATAATTTAGTCACCAATAAACTTTAGTACATAATAATTTAATTTTTGTAGTTAAAATTTTGTAATAGTTTGGTCTCTATCTTAAAAAATTTCATCCTGACGATTTAGTTTTTGTAATTTATAAATATAATTGGTAAATTATTGAAAATCTTGATGTACAGTTGACTAAGATGGAGAAAATACCACTTTGCAGAAATTCCCAAATACAAATGGACATCAAAGCATTAGACAAGCAACATTTTGATGAAAAAAATAGTGGTTTACACAAAATTGGTGCACCCACAAAAAAGAAATAATAAAAAAGTATATTCTATTATTATTTAATCCAGAGACATTTTCCAAAAAGAATGACGAAAGATGTTTCACTTATTATTAGTAAACGACAAACACAAATATATATATATATATATATATAAAACAACAGTTTAAATCTCATTTTTAGTCTAAACCTGTTCTATTTCTGTCTCTAAATTTATAGAGTTGTTTCATTTTGGGTCCTAAATTTTTAAAATATTTATTTTACTTACTTAATTTTTGAAAAAAAATAACCATTTTGATCCTTATTATATTATCTTTTCATCTAACATCTGCTTACTCAATTTCCATCTCTAATCTATAAAGTTTGAATAAATGCTCACATTAATATGTTAGTAGATGTACTTGTGTACTCAAAATTATGCTATCAATTTGTTAAGAGTAAAATAAAGCCAGAATCAAAATAATTATTTTTAAAAAATTCAAAAATCAAAATAGAATAAATTAAATGTTAAAATGGGTATTTTGAAAGTGGAATAATGTCAATGGAGTAAAATAAGATTTAAATGTAAAATAAAATAACCCCCCCATTTTCTTATTTTAAATTCAATAACTTATGGTGCTGCTGATGGGCCAAGGGGAAGTTATGTTGGGCCCACGGTGTAGTGGGCCGATATGGCCGAAACGCGGCCATTGGAGACCGAAACCGACAACCGAAACGACAAGACAAAGCTTTGACCGTTGTCGTCGACCTGCGCGCTCCGCCGTTGATCGGCCGGCCGGTGTTTTACGTAATTCCCAACAAGATAAATAATTTTTTTTAAAAAAAAAGAGAGAAAAAATTTTAATAAAATAATAAGAACTTTTCTGTAGGATTGGCCAAAACGGGACAGTGGCAGATACGAAACGACCGTTTCGAAGCGAGTGACGTATTTGCCTCTGTCGTTCTTCCGTTCCGTTTTTCTAAAATATTCCTAATTTTTCGATTTTCTCCTCTTTATTCTTTATTATTATTTTTATAAATTTTAAAACTATTTTAATTCCTATATTTTTTACTTTAATTCAATTGATATTGTATCTTTAAATATCTATTTTGATTTATGTACTTTTAATTTTGTTTATTTTAATTTTTAAAAAATAATTATTTTGATCTCTATTTATAAAATTTTACCTACAACAAAAAAATTTTAATATAATTTTATGACTAGATTTTAAAAATTTTTGTGAATGAAGTGTTATGCTAAATCTGTGATCTATGGTCATTTTTTATTAATACAATGACAAAAAGACATACATTTTGAAAGTACAAGAACAAAAATTTGATATTATAAAAAAAATATGAACTAAAAAGCGATTGAGATTTGGTTTTTAAAAGTATAATGTTGCCATCACATAATCTAAATCTAGAAAGAAAAGAAAAAAAGATATATATTATGTGGCATCCTTATCACTTATAAAGAGACTTTTCAAAGTTTTTTTTCTCATTAAAGCACAAGTGTTCTAATAGTATACTGGATTTAACGGACTGTGTTTATATAGTTTAATTAGTTGAGATTATATTTTGACTAGAATATAGAGGTTCGAATTTCGACCTTTTACATGTTAAAAAAAATAAATAAATAAGTTGGGTAGTTTTAAGATATTTCATGTAATTCTTTTATATAAAATTTAAATTAAAAAATAATAAAGAAGGGAGCAATTATCTATTCCCAATTTGTCTTAGATTAAAAAAGTAATTTTAAAACTTTGTATCTAATTTGCCTCTTAAGTTTTAAGGTCCAAAGATCATAAATTTCTTGTTAAATTAATATTGATATTTAAAAAATTAGATAGTTTCTCTTTAGATTTTTATTAACTAGTTTAGATTTTCTATGAAAAAAAAAAGTTTTAGTAAAAAGATCTTAAGAAAAGTATAAATAAAAAATAAATATATTTTCATGTTAAACATAAAGCCGTAAAATTAAATTTTGTCCTTCCCCTTATTAAATTTTTTACATTTTCAAATTGCACGCATCCCAACCAATATTAAATTCAAATAAATCTCAAATAAAACCATGATCACCTTATATCTTAAATTCACATGTTACAGCACAAACTATAATGCTTTCTAGATTTGTCCAATGCAATGATAAAAATATTTGGTAAAAATAGTACAATCTAAAAATTTGTATATCAATGATTTATTTTATATTAAGTATATCAATAATATATTTTATCATATGAATAATATACATTATATTAAGTATATTAATGTCAATTAAGATAAAGTATCTAATATCATCTTAAAATTTAATGTTATTGAATTGAAAAAAGTATTTTAATGATATATTTTCTCACAAGCCATTTGGTACCTTGGATATTATTTTAAAATAATAAAAAAAAATTAACCACTAACATTACAATAAAGAAAAAACAATAAAATTGTAGAGATGAATATAAAATATATTTCTAAAATTACTATTCAAACAAAATGTTTAACTTACAGTTTAATGTTACTAAATTTGAAAGGTCATTTATCTGTCCTATTAGATACAAAATTAATTTTTTTTTTATCTAATAGGATTGAATTAAAAAAAATGTTAAATAGATCCAGGTTTGAAATAAAATTGAAAGTTCTAACACTCATTTGGTGACAAACTTTTAGTAATTGTTTTGGTTTCTCATTTTATTTTTAAAAAACATTTCTAAAATTGCATAGAAATTTTAGAATTTTCATAATTTTTCAAGAAAAAAAACAGATAAAACTATTATTTTATTGTTTTTTACTTATAAAATATATAATAAATATTAAAAAATAATATAACATAAAAATGAATATTTAACTTAAAAAAAAAATCAATTTTCGTATAAGAGAGAACTAAAAACAAAAAATTGCTACTTTCTGTTTTGTTTTCACTAATAAACACAAAATAGTTTTTTTTAATACATTTTTTTTTCACTAATAAACACGAAATAGTTTTTTTTTAATACATCAAGTGCGTGAGAATAAGGGATCAAATTCACACCCTCGCACCTTTTTAATTGAAGATATATACTAATTATTATTGAACTATGTTCGCTTTAGAAAAGTCAAAATAGTTGCTTCTAGTTTAATTTACTAAAAAAGGTTAAAATCGAAGACGAAAATAAGAAACAAAAATATTATTTTACATAGTTTATTAAGATCGATTTATTCTCATTTCTTATTTCTCGTTTATTAAAATTAATTCATGAAGCAAAATATTCTATACTTCTAACTAGAGAAATCACCTGGAAACGAAGGAGGCCATGAAAGAATCAGGATCACTGGATTTGAAAGCTCTGAGAAAATCCCACATATTTCCGACGAACGGCCACCCCAGATCCCCCGGCGGCAGCCAGAACCGCTTTTCACCCAACCGCCGGTTCTCGTACACCCACCGGTTCGCATTCTTCGCCACCCAGACCGCCGCCGCCACCGCCGCCGCTGCCACCACCCACGCCGCCGCCGTCTCCATTCCCTCTGAGACTGAGGGGAGGAGGAGGCGTGGTGGGTATTTATAATAATGGATGTAGGAGCAGACGGCGACGGCCAAGGAGAGAGAAAAAACAAAAATAAAATTAAAATTAAAATTAGAGAGAGAAAATGGGTGCTTTTGAAATTGTCGTTTAGTGAATTGGAGTTTGATTCTAGTTGTTGTGTGTTTTGTACACTAAAATTTAGTGAGTTTTATTATTTTATTATTTATTTTTTCGAAGGGAGGGTGGTTTTTGGTGCGTGGCGGTTGATCACGCCGCCTTAACGTCGCACCCACGTGAACGATTGAACCAAAATATTTAGGTATTTATCGATCAGTATTCGAAAGGTTAATGTCTAGAATTCTTGTTTTTTCAAATCCATTAGATCAAATGAGTTTATATTTAAAACATCAAATTTTTTATTTATTTAAATATAAATTTTATTGTTCATTTCTATTAATACAGATATATTAAATATGTACTTGGTTAAGGGGTATATCTTCAATTAAAAGTTGGAAGTTCGAATCCACGTTTAATAAGTAACAACTTTGATGAATACATTATCGATGTGGACCAAATTTTGTCCGTCTCACAAATATTAAAAATTTGACAACTTATTAATTTTTATAAAAAGTCTTTGTTTTTAAACTTTTCTTAGTTGTCACGTATATAATGATGGTAAAGTATATAATTATTCAGAGAAATTTGTGAGCAAAAAATATTTTTACTATTTTTAGGTTCTATATCGAGAGTATAAATTTTGAAAACAATAATTTTAGATTTTGAATTTGAATATTTAAAATTTGAAATTATATTAAAAAGTAACAACTTTTATTTGTACTAAAAAGTAACAACTTTTATGAATATATCATTATTAACTTCTTCTTTTTTTGTTAAAATTAAAATGGGTAGAATATAATATAATTATAAATTATATAATATTGTAAAATAATAATTCTTTGTATAACATATAGATTAATAAATTAATCAATAATATTTTAGATTAAACTAAATAATTATTTGCTACTAATTTACAAATATATAACTAAACACATTCAGAATTTTTAAAATTGAGATTTAACTTCGACATATACGAAAACACTAAAAACATATCATACAACTTTGTTTTTATTGAATCTCTTTATTTTAGATTTTTATTTTCAAAACGCACCAAACTCTTAATAGGTAGAAGAAAAAAAAATTATATATTTTTTCTCCTTTTTCTCTCCTACCCGTCTTTTTTTTAAACAAAAGACAGGTAGAAGAGAAAATAGAGAAAATTAATTTTTTTCATATTTATGAAAAAAACTAAAAAATTGTCAAATTTTTATTCGTGACAGAATAAAGATGAGTGAACATTTAAGTATCGTGGACGAGGCACGTTATATATAACAAAATAAATTACAAAATGTATAGTTATTAAGGACATGTTGATTTCGAATTTGCATATAAAATTTGGCTATCTTGTTCAATAATTTTTTGTTTCCTGACCTATAGGCAACTTGATTCTCATAATATTAGTGACTTTTAATTAGTTTAAGGTTTTATTGGCTGTCTATGAATAACTAGAGAATAAGATGTTGAGAATAATATTTAGTTGAAATCTAATGTGTTTGGTTATATGAATGAGAATATTATCAAATTTTCTTTGGAATAAATGATGGTTGTGTATAAATAGTCGGTAACAATTAATTATAATCGAGCTAAAAAAAAAATTATAATCATTTATATATGAATCCTATTATTAAATTAAATTAATTAATATTTATATCTAATAAATATTTAGTGGTACTTTTGATTTGTGCTTTGTAATGGTAGAATTTGAACCTCCAACTTTTGATTGAAAATATATACCTTAACCAAGTACATATTTAATATATTTGTACCAATAGAAAGTAAGAGGAAAAAAAAATAAGAAGAACGAAAAAAAGAGGGAATAATCGAGAAATCTCGTACTTTCAATAACGCATACAATATATATATATATATTTTAAGAAAGCGTATACAATACTTTTAATCACGAGCATAAAAGATGCATGAGAATAAGTCATTTTCATATCCAAATCATACAAATATTGTTCCAAATAGGGGACGTTAAACAACCTCATTCCTATTATTTTTCGATGGGGTTCGACATCTTTATAAGTTTCGACATCGATATTGAAAAATTTGGGTTATTAATGTTAATTATTTCTACTAGATTTACTGAAATAAGTAATTTAATTAACTATACTTATATAGAGTCAACCTGAATATAGTTCAATGGGTTAAGCATTTATCTGCAACCAAAAAGTCTGACATGAGTTCGAATCCCTATCCCACATATTGCACGAAAAGTTAATCGTATGCTTTGTGAATGTCACATCAAAACTAGCATAGAGATCATTGATAGTAATAAAAAACTTAGAACTATGAAATAAAAAATTTCTAAAGTAGAATTAAGGGTGAAATTTTTGTCAAATGCAACCAGGTCAAAGTCTCAATTTTATGAGAGATTCTTGTGAAAATATTAATAAAATGTCGATATTGATAAATATTTTTGAAAATTTTTAAAAGTTTTAATTTAACAAATAAATATTTCACTTTTTTTTTTGTCAAATGTGAATGTAAGTCAATTAGTTAAGGTGTCTATCTCCTACCAAAAGGTAGTGTATTTTTAGTTGACATTTTTTTAATATTTATTGATTTTTTTGTCATAATGTAGAAATGTCGATTCACCCAACTACAAGAAACTTTTTTCCATTGAAACCGATTGAATTTGTCGCAATTTAGGGGCGATGGAATATAGATTTCATAGCCAAAAGTATCTTAGTGCAATATCACTAAAAGTTTCGTCTAATTTGAGTTCCTTTAGACAAAATTTCTAGCAATGAATCAAAAAGTTATTACCGTAAGGTCCTTTTGGTGACGAAATTTAATTTACATGGCCAAAAATATTCTATTGCAATGAAATTTCAATTCCTCGTCAAAAGTTTTAGATAATCTGTTTAATTTTTGTCGAGTTCTCCTGACAAGCCAAAGGCAACAAAAATTTAGTCAAGAAAGCTTTTTCCCGATGTTTTTCATAACATGGAAAAGAGATTATTATTATTATTATTATTGTAGTGAAAATTGAATACCTTGAGAATAAGTAATAATTCAGCCAAATAAAAAAAAATGTCTGTAATTTATTTTATTATTTGTAGTGTAATATTGCTCTCTAGTTTTCAATTATTATAAGATATAATATAGCTTTGCCACGTGGATTTCTTGGACACGAGCGATTAAACCAGTCAATAAAATCAAATAATTTTTGTTGTTTAAACCAATCTCCCATATCATATGTTATTTCATAGTTTACTTAATCTTTCTAATTGTCCTTAATTTTCCATTGGTTTGTGTTTTCCACTTTTTGAAGTATTAGTTACGAAATTATTGCGTCACTTAACACTTTAAAAAAAAAACTAAAAAATAAGAAGAAAATTAATCGGAAATTATATTATTTTTATTTTAATTCTTTAATTTTTTAATTTTAGTATTCTACCTAAACTAAATGGACATTTGTTTATTTTTTTTTAATTAAATAAAATAAAATAATAAATGTTATTTTTTTTAGAAGTATTAGGACATTTGTTTCATAAAAATGTCTTACTTCTTATTCTCTCAAACTTTTTATTGTTTAAAAGTATATTTAATGTTAATTTTTGCTCAAATATAAGAACAAATGTTCATATTTATGTTTTTTACGAAACTAAAAATATAGAATGGAAAGGTGAGAAAATCAAATTGTTTAAATTTTTTGGAACATTTCTTTAAAATATTAAGAGAGAAATAAGACAACGGTCACCAGTAAACACATATGTTTTAGAAAATGGAAATATGATCAAATACGAAATAAGAATGTTACCTTAAATAGTCCGTTAAAATATCAGTGTATAAAATATTTTAAATGAATTCACGATGGATTCAATTTACATATATATTAAATAATATATATAAAATTTTTGAAAATAAATTAATCAAATCAATATTGTATACATTGAATCATCTTAAGAACAATCATTCATTCAAATGTTTACGTTGAGATATTCTTGTCAAGTAAAATTAAAAAGACATCTTATCGATTACTCTTGTTATAACTTTTGAAAAAAACAATAAAATCTATCAAACTCAATCAACCATCAAATCGCCTAAAAATTAATGGAAGAATTCTAATTTTTCTAGAAAATGATATGGATAGAAATTATTTATCTATGGATCAATGGGAAGTCATTTCATATAATATATGAAGATAATAAGTCCAACGTATCCTACAAGTCTAAGGCATAGCCAAGTAAGACGATTGTCTAAAGCCCACAAATTTAATTTAAAATGAGTCATGTGTCTAAGTATATGATCATAAACTTATGGTCAACAAATTTTTAATATTCACCCCTAAAAAGGGCATAATTGAAAAAGTTAAAACATAAATAATTAATTGAAATTTTTAAAACCATAGTCACTGGATTGAAAGTATATATTTTGGAACATCAAAATCAAAACACTAAATATCCATTTAGTAACATTAATTGCTTTCGGTAACTTGGGAAAGCTAATGGCCGCGTGTGAATTCTTTCAAGGCAAGGGACCTGGTTGGCATTCTTGTTTACTCTGATTCGATCGAGGTTATTTTCGTTTATTTTCGTTTACCGGCGCGTAGGTGGTCTAAGTTCCTCTGACCAAGTCTTTCTAGCCCTGTACATCAAAAGTGGTGGGGTGTCCACTAACGGTCATTCTTGGCTCGGCTCGTCGCGAGAGACGAGAAATGCGATTCAACTGCTAACTGCTACTTGTTTTTTTTTTTAAATTGAAAAAGGAAATATAAACATGTTTGACAATCATTTTTCGTTTCTCGTTTTTTAACAGTTTCTCGTCCTCCAATGTTTAAAATTAGAAAATTTAAATTTTATATGAAATTTAATTTTTTAAATTAACTATTCAAATGGTTTATGTTATATATATTTTTTAATATTTATTCTACCTTTTATTTGTCAAGAATGATAAACTAATGTTTTTATTTCTATTTTAGAAAAAAAAAACATAGAAACGAGAACAAAAAACTTAATTTTGTTAAGTTCTACACAATTTTTGAAACATTTCTAAAAAACAATGAAGAACAAACATGAACAGTTTACCAAACACTTATTAAACTGTAAATGAGAAATCAGAAACAAGAAATTATCAAATGAATCAAATTATAGAAAAAGGCGTAAAAAAGAAAAAGATAATATGTTCGTTAAAATAAAGCCAAAAAATAACATTCAAGGACAATACATATCCTATCCAATCCCCAAAACTTTGTTCTAAAAAACTATCATAATGTCTTTTGATATCTAAAACTCATTTCTAACCATCACTTTTTGGTCATAGCACAACATATAGATTGGACATCTATGGTTTAGAAGCCCTTTCATGTTCTTCAACACCATCTCCCACTTTTTTTCTATGCCCCCAACATTTTAAGGATTTTAGCTAGTTGGATTGCACTATATATATGTTTCTATATGTCATCTTGGGTATTTAGACCTATAATGTTAAGACCCCTTTCCACTTTATCAAATTGCTTTCTTTTTAAATTATTTGTTCCAACTTTTCCGTTTTCTATGCAATCTTTAATGATATTTTGAGCGGGTTAGATGGTGAGAGTGTTGAGGTTACTGAACTCGATTAAGATTAGATAAACTGCGTGTACCTACTAATTTCGTTATGACTAGTATTATTGAAAACAAAAAGACTATGAATCAAGTTTTCCTTTTATATTTAACTTTTCGATGTTTGTATGTATTGAAAAAAACTGCATTGCTTTTAAATGTGTAATAAATCAGAGACCCAATAGAAACAAAATTGAAAATCAAGAAATCTGTTGGATAATTTTTAAAGTAAGACCTGATAAACATGATAGAGAAGAAAACTCTATTGACAAGGGAGGAAGAAGACTTTAAAGACAAAATTAATGGATAAACAATCCAAATAAACTTTCACATTACTTGCCACGTTTCAGATTTTGCCATATCAACTTTCCATTCATAATATTAACGGAGGTTTGCTCAAAAGCGATTCTTAAAACATTCATGAAATGTCATAGTATTGAAAGTTTTGAAATGATAGATATATTTTTTAAACAAAATGAACAAAATTTAGGGGTGGGAATTTTACTCTACACTTATTTCTAACTAAAAAAATCGAATTAAAAAAAAATAGAAACTTTTTACAGGGGCGCATGAGGTCATAAATGCAATTTGACAAAAGTTTTGTGTCCCAAACAGAAAAAAGAAAAAAATGAGGATTTGGGACTAAACGGACCAAGCTGGACTCCGGGAAGGGGAAAGGGGCTGAGAAAAATGGCGGCGAGACAGAAAGCGGTGGCGACGCTGCCGAATCTCATCAGAAGCCTCAGAAAGGATCGCCGGAGGCCCGGTCTCAGCCAGCCTCTGCCGTCGTTGAGACGCGCTTTTTCACTTTACGATCAGATCAATCTCATCGACAATGTTCCTGAAGATCAGCTTCGCTTTCAACGGTAAAATTTTCGTCTTCTCCGATGCTTGCAATCGATTTCTTCGCTTGATTTCATCTCACTGTCTCCTTCGTGTGGGTATTTTAGGTATACTGAGACGGGTTTTACGGTAAACGGAGTGGATTATGAAGGGAGCTTGCTCTGCGTTGGGAACTTGTTAATGTCGTGGAGTCCCAGGAAATTTTCGGAGATTACGGCTGAGAGGTTTGCTTTGAATCTTTTCCTTCTACTTTTATGTTTTTTTTTCTTTTTTCATCTGGT